TATTTATTTATATATTTTATGGTTGCTTTTTTAGATTAAACTCACCTTCACCCTACATTATTATATTATATTGTTACATATATTATTTAATATTTAGATGAACATAAAAAGACATACTACATATTTTGTTAATGTGGACAAATATAAAAAATTACAAAAAAAAAAAAAAAAATTAAAGCTAAAATCTTTAAATGGTATTTTTAAATGATTTTTTCTTATTATTATTTTTTTTTTTTACTTATTCAATAGAAGTAAATTTTCGGAGCATTAAATAATTTTCAAAAATCCCTGATTTCAACCTTTGTATACCTTTTATGTTTACATTTCAGTTTAGTTGCTAAATATAAACGAACTGGACATAGCTAATGTTCTTTATTTATCTGTCCAAGCTTTATAAAATTTGCCAGCTTAGTGTATAACACACATCTGAAACGTATCTATATACTTATAGACAAACTACCTTCAATAATTTTGTATTGCAAATTTCTGTTACTACCCCAAAAAACCTACAAATATTAGAGCTCTTAACCCATCAAGCGTTATACATATATGCAATCATGCGTTAGTCATCTCTTACTCTATCATGCTGTCAATCGCACTGGCGCTCCCAGTCCAATTTGTCAACTGGTGAATGGGGCAGCGTCTGTGTGGCAAGTGTGACCCAAAAAATGGGCAGAGCTGTCGCCACCTTCACTCCTTATTGCGATTTGATGATGCCACACTGCGACAATTGAGATTGAGCGACTGAGCGCTATTTGATTGATTTTAAAAATAAATTTCAACAACGACAAAACACAACAAAAAAGCTAGCAAGCCAGCACGTGCAGTGCTGTGTGGCATCCACTTGATGGGGCAGCAGCCGCAGCAAGCGGGCCAGACGAAATTTCCGTCTGGTTATCGCCCAGATCTCTCTGCAGCTCTTGAGCGCAGCCGAAACAAATGCTGTGTGTGTGTGTGTGTGTGTGTGTATGTGTGTGGGCGAGATCGTGTGGAGACAATGAGGCTGCTGCATAAGATTTACAGTTGATGTGGAGAGCTGCTCAACATCGTGAGAGGCAGAGACGGAGATCGAGAGAGTACAAGAGTCTCTCTCTCTCGCTCTCTCTCTCTCTCTCTCTCACTCTAGCGTTACGTAGCAGCTGAATGAATGAATGAAAATGCGCTTTGATTTTTCAACCGATTTGTGTGTGTTTTTAGTTGTTTAGTTGAGTCGGTGGCGTGTATTTCGAATGCTCTTTTGGCACACATTAATTCGATTATTAATATAAACAATAGCTAAACGCAACCCATGACCGCAGTCAGGTCGTAAACAGGTGTCTGTGTTTGTCTCAACGCCGGAGGCTGTAAACAAAAATAGATAACAGCCAAAAGAATATATTTATACGTATATAAATATATGTATATAATAAACAACAAATGTGGTCAGCAACAGGCTGCAGACAGCCAAAAATTAAAATTAAACTCTATTGTAGACATATATACATATATTTATATATATACATACAGTATGTCCATATATATACGGACTTAAGGTGTAGCAGAGGAATTTTAAAATTAAATTCATATAAATAAGTGCGACAGCCGCAAACTTCCAATGTGCAACATCTGTGAGTGCTCAAGTGTGTGTGCTGGTGTGTGTCAAAGAACATAAAACTCACCGATCAGATCAAATCATAAACATCTAAATCAAAGCAAAACTTCAAAGCGCTTGAAATCGCTGAGGTGCTTTTCTTATTTTTATTTTTATTTTTATTTTTTGTATTTTCTTTTTCATTTGTTTTTGTTGACACCTACACGTTAGAGTCGCTGCAGCATGCGGCATGTGGCAGGGGGCGCGGAGTGCATTTTGGTCAGCAATAGCGTTGAACTCGCTGCGTTCGCACCTCGAGAGAGAGCGAGAGAGAGAGAGAGAGAGAGAGAGAGAGAGAGACGTGTTGGTGATAATAGCCATCAGCTGCAGCCGGCGTGGGTCGTTTCATAGATTGATCAAAGAGTTGGGTGATTAAATATTAATGTGTGTGTGCGGGTGTGTGTGTGTGGCTCAAAGCTGTTTAATTTATGCTTTGAGCTTAAATACCTATTTGAAATATGTAATATGTCTTGCGTTGAAATTCTTTCGGCATTGTATGCTGAGTTTCAACGATGAATCAGTATTTGCCTTATATATTTGTTAGGTGGAAAAGTTATTCGTTTTATATGTGATTTATAATTAATATAATTAAAAGTGTCTAATGGAATATAAGAAGATGCCATTAAAATGTTTATTAGCAGACTATAAAAGTTATCACAATAAACATATATATGACTTGTCCTAATGAAGAAAGACTTTCAGAACTTGATTTTAATTAATTCTAAATAAATTCGGAATATTGCTATATAGCCCTTAGTTTACAAAACAAAGTTGATTAAGGTAAGCTTAAGCTTTTAACTATGCTAGAGAGCTAAAAATTTGATCTAAATTAATAGATTATTGTATTATAATAAGATGTACATTTTAGAGTATTTTCTATATTCCAATAAATAAATAATATGTATATTAATTTATCTATAAGTAACTCTCAATTTTTAAGCAACAGTTCAGCAAATAAGCTCAATTGGAACTTTAGGCAATTCATAAAAATCAAAATTAAATTAAGACTTAGGATTTCAATAAGATATCAAAGTACAATATAAATTTTATCGTATACTAATTACTCCTGCTACAGACTGCTAACATGTATTATCTTTAAAATTAACTCACACTCCTCTCTCTCTCTCTCTCTCTCTTGCACCTGCAGCGCGGCAGTCGCTACCACGGCCATCGGCATAATCAACGTTCGCAGTCGCTAAATCGCGGCCAGGCGCTCTCGCAGGCGGACGTGACCGGCATGTGGTGACATCGGGGTGCCTCTGGTAAAGGTAAGTCTCTCAGCACTATATCGTCTATATGCATAACTGATTCATCTACATTTAACACACTCTATAGGAGCTGCGGCGGGCTGTGCTAACTGCGCCATGGGCAACAAATTGAGCTGTTCGTGTGCGCCTCTGATGCGCAAGGCTTATCGCTATGAGGATTCACCCTGGCAGAGCTCTCGTCGTCGCGATGGTCATCTCTTAAGGTGAGTGGGCGTGGCTGGCATTGACAGCCGTCATCGTTATAAATCCTTCTAGACTCTACTAGTTGACTCTTTTGTTCTCCGACTGGCTGTAAATATATATGTATATATGTGAATGGATAGAAACAACTACAACAACCATAACAATAACAAACAACTAACTCAAAAACAATTGAATTCGCTATTTCGATCAACTTTTGTAATTTAACTAATTGTGTTCTTCTTCTGGTTTTTCTTTCTTTCAAAAAAAAAAAAAAACAAAAAATCTAAATGTAAAAAAAAAAAAAAAACAAAAACGAAAAACTTTCGACTTTTTGCCCACACTTTCAACAACCAACACACAACCCACACTGCCTAATCTAAATTGTTGGGCGCAACTACAACTACAACAACAACTACTACAACTACAACTACAACAAATCTGCAACAACTTTTCCTTCCTAAACGACTGCAACTGCAACAACTACAACAACAACTGTCAAACCGTGCTTCCCCACTTTGATTTTACTTTCAATTCAATCGATCCTCCAAAATCAAACTTCCTCAACCACAAACTTGCACCAAACTCAATCAATTGGATGAACCAAAACCAACAACTTTTGCAATAATCAATTTGTCAAACAAACGTTTTATTAACCAACGCCTAGTTCGTTCAGGTTGTGGGCTGAGGTCTTTCACGTATCGGCAAGCGGCGCCGGCACCGTCAAGTGGCAACAAGTGTCTGAAGATTTGGTTCCTGTTAACATTACCTGCATTCAGGACTCGCCCGAGTGCATCTTTCACATCACCGCGTACAACAGCCAGGTGGACAAGATACTCGACGTGCGACTTGTGCAGCCAGGTGAGAAGCTCTACCTCCCCCTCACACTGTTTACCTTTGCTAATTGAAAATTCTATTATCTCTCTCCCTCTCTCTGCGTGTGTGTGTGTGTGTGTGTGTGTGTGTGTGGTATTTGCAGGCACACGCATTGGCCAGGCATCAGAATGCTTTGTTTACTGGAAGGATCCAATGACTAACGATACTTGGGGCCTCAACTTCACATCGCCCATCGATGCCAAGCAGTTTCGGGAATGCTGTGTAAGTATTCTCTTACAGTTTGCTGCATATTGCAAACGCGACGATGACAAGCAACCACCTCAACTGATACCTCAACCAAAGAACCACCTCAGCCAACAACCACAAAAACAAACACTAAAGCAATACACACACACATACACACACACACACAGCAACACTATTTAACAAGTAACAAACACCTTGGAGCAGTTTGAATGCTGCCAGAACATCTGCCACAAATGCAAACAACCAGTTGATGATGATGTTGATGATGATGATGCTGTGATGATGACCGACCGTGATGAATGTTGAATTAATGAATTAATAATGCTGATTATGCGGCGCTTATGTTCCATAAACCACTAACGATATAAATGAATATATATATATATATATCTCTCTTTTCGAAATTACTGGAATAGCTCCTGCAATAGCTATAAAACGTGTGAAATCATTCAAAGTACGCGCAATAGCTTCAATTCATGCCATGCCATTAGTCACAGTCAGTATCAGTCGTAGTCACTGTCGCAGTCACAGTCACAGTTACAGTCACAGTCACTGTTACAACATAAAGACAGACAGACAGACATATAGACACAGATACAGTTACAGTTACAGTTACAGACACAGACAACGCTCTCAAAACTGCTTAAACAAGAACTGATCCCGTTTAATATACCTGTACAAGTATATATACTCTATATATATATATATTATCGTTCTTAGTTGACCAACATCAGACATGCATATAATAAATATATATACTTTGAATAATCAATAAATTTGTCGCAAAATTTGGTATCCTACTTGAAAATTCGAATTTTATGTTTTGTATTGAGTTTCTGTTTTCCTCTCGTTTAAAATATCCATCCATTTTGTAAACAATTTGGACAACAATTCTAAAGTAATACGTACATATATATAGTAGTGCTTAAACCGCTTTTACACGTTGAATTGAATATAAACACAAGAGAAAATGATCAGAGATTGAAAGAGAATCCAAATGAGAGGCATATAAAATATAAAATACCTTAAGCTCAAGCTCGCTTCTACTTCCATTTCCGATCAATTTCTTAGCCAGACTGAAGACACAATCACAAACACACACACATGCACACACACTACTGACTACAACAACAACAACAACATTTACTATTCACTCATTTAGTCAACATAAACTGTCTGGATTTAGTATCTAATAATTGTTTCGTTTCTTTTCTTACTTTGCGCCTCATTTGTTGCAGGTATCTTACATTGTAAAAAAATACGTTAGTATCGCTTCATATTGTTTATTTGTCACAAGCACACTACTACTACAAACTCAACAACTAAATACAAACTGCTGCTAACTAAGACTAACTAATACTATTAAAATAACTAATTAATAACTATGTTTTTTTTTCGAACTATCACAGCAGAGAAAACAATAACTCTCTTATGATCAAATCATTTATATATACTATATATAGAGAGAGACAGCATCTCTAAGTGTATTTAAGTTTTGAAATACCCCCATTCAAGTAGCGCTTCCCTTTCTCGGGCATGTGTAAGAACTCTACCTACATACATATACTTGCATACACACACACACACACACGCTCTCTCTTTTTCCTCCACACACACACACACACAGAGACACACATATAACAGTGCCCTTAAGTGTCGTTACTGTTTTGTAAGCTTTTCACTTTTATGTGTCCTAAACCCTCCTACTCTATCGCCAACCGAAACGCTCTCTCTGTATACGCTCCTCTATCACAAGTTGCTCAACCCAGTTAATCACATAACTCACGCATACCATAACAGTTATATGTATTATATACCAGTTAAATACTAGGCAATTGATGCCCAGCAACAAATAAACTCATAAGTGTTCAAAGTTCCTATTAATTCTTGTTGTGTGTGTGTGTATTTTGAAAGTTCCAAAGGTTCCAACAACTACTACTTGTATTTAACTCTATAGCACACACACGCATACATTGACACCCACACACAGTGAACCTACACACACATACACACACACACACAAACACACTGACGTCACTTACACATACAGTTACACGCACACCCACTAAAATTTGTTAAATGTATTTATATTATATATTCTTTCATTTCTTTTTCTCTCTTCTAATCATTTTCGAATTCATTCTCGAAACACGCCAAAAAAAA